AGGAGTGCTGGATGTGCTCCCTCCCTGCACAGAGCTGTGCCAAGGATGAACACACTGCAAGGCTGCAGTCAGAGGAGCGAAAGGAAACGTGTCTGGCCCCTCGCAGGCTGCCTGCAAAGGGTTAAGAGCAGAGAGAAGACAGGAGCTGGCCAGGAGCCAAGGCAAGCCTCCAGCTAAAACCAAGGTGGCCAGCCAAGAGGCAAAGGCTGCTGCCCTCTCCCAGTAACCAGCTGCTCTCCTCCCCCAGTAACCCAGCCTGCTGTGACCCGTCCCCACAAATAGCTCTGGCACCCAGCAGGCCTTGGGAAGTGACAGTGCCCAGGCCATTTACAAGGTGCTGCTAAACACTGCTCCTCCAGCTGGGTTCCTTGCTCTGAAATAATTAGGTATGAACCCCATAAACGTGATTTTAGCCCTATGGGCCTAAGCAAAAAAAGGAGTATTTAACACAAGGAGTGTTCTCCACGCTGGGGGGAACTTGCACAGCATCCCTTTTCCAGGTTGTGCTGAGCAGCTTCTGGCCCAGCTGATTCTGAGCTGTGTTGGATCAGCGTGGCCAGGCCCAGGGCTCACTCAGAGAAGCAAAGCTGGATTTTCCTCGAGGTCATTAGAGCCCCCTGCTATCAGCAAGTTGTCCCATTGCTGGACCACAGCCTGCACCCCACGGACAGACCTGCCCTGCTGAGGTTTTTGAGCTGCAAGGACTGAACTTAGAATCAACTTACCACGAGCAGACACACAAATAAATCTGGGAGCAGCTTAATGCTCTGCCCATCACATCACTGTGTGGCTGGCAGGGAGCAGTCACCAACCAGCTGACATCAAAATTCATATTTAGACATTAAAGAAGCTATAAAGATGACACGCAGTTGGGAAGGGGAGAACCACTGGAAACCAAGTAGAGTGATCACCACTGTGGTTTTAAAACTTCTGTTTAAAAGAAGAGGAAAAAACCCTTTTCATTTGGCTTTGATTACTTCAGACTTTGAGAGCTCCTATATTACTTCCTCATGTTTGCAGAGGAGAGGGGAGTACTCATACCCCTATTTTGCACCAGAGAACTGAAACACAGAGGGAATAACTTGCCATCCCAGCTTATGTCAGAGGAGAGAAATGAATCCAGGTTACACAGACCCTATTTTCTCCTTGGAATAGCATCAGATAGCCTTGAGTTAACCCACGTGCCCATCAAAAGCCACTGTGTTCTGTACAGCAGGCAGACCCAGAGGTCTGACAACCCATCACCTCCCTGGGGCTACGTGAAGCACTGATGTACCCCGACAAGAGCTGCAGGCCTGGAACAGCCAGTGTGACCTAGCACTGAGCCTTTCACAAGCTCTGCATAAACACCAGCTCAGGAAGAGCAAATGCAAACCACATTTCCACAGATCTTTTCCCCAACTGAAGGGATCTTGCCTTGGGAAAACAGCTGAAGGAGAGGCACGGACGCCAAACCCAAGGGTCTAAGAGTCAGCTTTGAAGAAACAAAGGGTGGGAACACTAGGTTTGATCTGGGGGGGTGGGGAAGCCAGGGAGCAACAGAGCACAGAAACAGGCAAAAAGGAAATTTACTTTGGACCCAATCCTACAAACTGAACGCACGAGAGCTTTGTGGATGCTGCTCCTCACCTCGGCTGCTCAAAGGTCCACCCACAGCCACCGACAGACAGGCAGCCCTTGTCACCCACAGCGTGGCTCGTAGGTGAAAGAACAAGGATGGAGGTCAGGTCACCATGAGCAGGAGGAAGCAGGGAGCGAATCCTGCACCGCTGCTCCTCCCAAAGCCTCATCACCGCTCTGACGTGGGGCTCTTGGGGGAAGCCAAGCAACTGAGCTCCCCTTGTTCTGCCACACAAACCTGGCCGCTCAGCCCACACCTACCGGGGGACCGGGCTCCAACCTCAATCCTGGACACAGGAAAGCTGCCCCACAGCTCAGGAGGGGCAGCACATCCCCGGCTGCAGCCCCACGAGGAAGGAACCGGACCACCCGTGCGCCCACGCTCGCCCCGGCCGGGCCGTGTCCGCGCCACGGGGGAACTCTGCCAGCACTGCCGGTGGGCCCAGGCAGCCTCCAAACTGACAACAGGTGGCTTTCAACAAGAACAGCCCCAGCTGCATTTGAACTGGTGCCCGAGCACAGAGAGCTCCAAGTTTCATCCTCAGCCCCCTCAAAATGTTGAGAATCCACCAGGATCTTCGTAAGGAAAGGGAGAGGAGTCTGTACACCGAGTCCCTTCGTTAGCGGCTTTCTCTGCTGCTCGGTGCAAACGTGCATTTTAGGGAAGAGAGGACAGAGGAGGGATCTCATCAATGCATATAAATATCTCCAAAGGGTGCCCAGAGGATGGTGCCAGACTGTCTGGTGGTGCCCAGTGACAGGACGAGGAGCAACGGCCATAAACTAAAACACAGCAACACGAGGAAGAACTTCATTACTCTGAGGGTGGCAGAGCACTGGAACAGCTGCCCAGGCAGGGTGTGGAATCTCCCTGTCTGGAGACATCCCAAACACATCTGGACACATTCCTGTGTCTCCTGCTCCAGGTGGCCCTACCTTGGCAGCGGGGTTGGACTGGGTGATCTCCAGAGGTCCCTTCCAATCCTACTGTTAGAATTGTTTCTGGGATTCTGTGATCAGGGAACACCAGACCTGCCTGCAAGACCTCCCAGCAACAAACAGGATGAGAAGATGCAGCTTTACCCCTTCCCTTCAATAGACCACAAGGCCAAAATTGGGGGCAAAATAATAATACAAACATGCACAAGGCAGGGCTGAAGGAGCTTATCAGACCACTCAGCCCCACGCCATGAAAATCCCCCTTCCAGATCCCTGATGGTTTCACCAGTGTCCTCCAAGCAGCAAGCTGTGAAGGTGACACCAGTGTCACTGGGACAGCCCTGGTGGCCGCAGCTGCCTGCTGGGAAGCCAGGACACGAGGGATTCCCACAGGAACCCAGCCAAGGTTCAGGCTGGGTGCTGCACTCTCCCATTCAAAGAGCCAGGGTCTCCTTTTGCCGAGGCAGGATCAAAGTCTGCCCAGCCATCCCCAGTCAGTGTGTTAATTGGGACACGCTGGGCCTTCCATCACAACCTAATTCTGTGGAAAAACAAGAGTGGCAACTGCCTCATCCCCTTGTCCCCTCTCCTCCTTTTCCCAGAACTGGCTTGCTGCCCACCCTATTGCTCACCACTTCTGCAGATTTCCAGGACTCACAGAAGCATGAGGGATTTTATGTGCATTTAAACAACATCACATCCTTCCTCGGCATCCACCCTCCCCTTTTTCCCCTGTTTCTCTCCATGTTTCCCAATCTCCTCACCAGTCAGCTTGTTTTCCCAAACCTTAAATTTGAGCCTAGAATTGCTCCTGCTCTTGTTTATCTTTACAAGAAGATGCTTGTGATTGCAGGCAGCCCTTGTCCTACAAACCTTCTGCTGTCCCAAGGAACCTCCCTGGGCTCTCCTCATCCCAACCCTGTGGTATCTGAAGGAAGAACCTGTCAACTTTCCAGACAAAATCTGATGGAACAAATATCATGGAATCAAAAAATGGTTTGGGTGGGAAGGGACCTTAAACGTCATCCAGTTCCACCCCCTGCCATGGGCAGGGACACCTTTCACTATCCCAGGTTGCTCCAAGCCCCGTCCAACCTGGCCTTGGACATTTCCAGGGATGGGGCAGCCACAGCTTCTCTGGGCAACCTGTGTCAGAGCCTCCCCACCCTTACGAGGAACAATTTCTTCCCAATATCCCATCTGACCTTGCCCTCTGGCAGTGGGAAGCCATTCCCTCTTGTCCTGTTGCTCCATGCCCTTGTGAAAAGTAAAATGAGCATTAAAATTTCCATCTCCATTGGTGTTCACTCACGGCAAAGCTGAAATGCAGTAGGCAAGCAGGCTCCTAATGTCAGGTGCTTATCAGAGCCATCTCCTCAGCTTTGTTTTTCACTCCCAGAGAGATCCCAGTGTACAAGGAAGGAGAGGAACAATGGGGGATACCCTGTTCCACCCATAGAAACCCCGAATCAACAGAAATGCCACGTCAGGGGAAGAGAGGGAGACACACACAGAGAATGCAGAATGGTGCTGGCATTTCAGGGAGCCCTTTTTAGCTCTGCCAGGAAGGTCAGAGCCAGCACAGACAACTCCAACACAATGAGGTGCCCAAGCTAAATATAAACCCATCCAGGGCACGGGTACAGGAGTTTGTTTTTACAGTGAGCCGACAGACCATCAATACTGGGCCACATCCCTGCTCCAAATAATTCCCAGCTTTATCCTCACTGCCAGTCTTTGTGTTTTAGCAGAGAGGCAGAGCCCAGGCTAAGTCAGTGGAAATGATTAACTGAGAATGAGAAATACCCAAACTTTTCCATTTCTATTACGCCACTCTAGGAAAATCTATGATGTTCCTCTCCTGTGATGGGGCCACCTCATTAGGGAGCCCTTATCTGACTTCCTCACACACACTGCCCTTAATGTTATATTAACTGCTATAAACACCACTCAAGCCCCCAGTCCTTTCCCAACATACGACTTGATAAAAACTACTTTTCCCTAAACCCAGGTCACATGTTGAGGTTTCTACACTTTGCTCACAGATACCAAGATCTGGTTGAGAAACTGCTTTTGCATTACTCAGAAAAAGTAAGAAAAGGTGACATTTACCCAGCAGAGCTATCTCAGTTCTGCTTCTCAGAACTCCAGACATTTCTAGAGGAAAGGGAGCTCTTGAGGAAGAAAAAAACCCGAGGTGTTAAAAGCAAGGAAAAGAGAATGTGCAAGAACGAAATTACCAAGTTAGACAGAAAATATGCTCCAGCCCCAATGAAGACAGAGCTCAGGATGCTATTTTTAAATAGCAAAAGAGAAAACCACGATGCCAAGCCAGTAGCACATTTGTTATTTGGTGCCCTGGGAGACAGTCGTGTGGCTTGGTATTTAAGTTGGTATTTTCTTGCTGGGCTTATGTTACAGCAGAGAAATCATTTCCTTACTCTCCAGCATGTACTTCTTGGCGATGGGCAGAGGGAGCAGCCGGATGTGGCCGATGAGGGAGCCCCAGGCCTGGGCTCTGGAGAGAGGAGCTTCAGGAGGCAGCGGGTTGTAGGGCTGGATCACGAAGTAAACAGTCAGCAAGACCAACCCCAGAGTGAGCAGGCCCTGTGAGGGAAAACAGGCACAGAGTTAACTATCCTGCAGGGAGCTGGGGTGTCCTCAGACCAGGACACACCTTCTGGCTGCGGTCGGGCACTGCGAGACGAACACTCGGTATTTTTGCTGTGGCTCCCTGTTCAGCTGCAATGCTATTTATGTACACTCAGCTTTATTATTAGGGCTGCCCAGGGATGAAATTAAGCAGCCTTCAAACCCAAACCACACAACCCTGCTCCTGTATTGCGGCACTGCAAATAATCCAGCAGGAGATCAATGAGGATTATCTACAGATAGTTCCGATTCCTCCCACCTAATCAAATAAAAACTTGCACTCCTGCCACCCCTCTTACACAAGGAAAACCCTGTGGTTTTCGCAAACATCCGCCAAGCCTCGAAACACTTTGGCAGAGTTGGCACCAGCTCCCTCCTCCATACCAGAATCCCAAATTAAGCCTCCCAGAGATGACGTGACACATTTCCACCCCCCCCCCCGGCCAAAGTCAAACTGAATCAACAGCAAAAAAACAAGAACAGAAGCTGAAAGTTCAAATTTGCAGTTCCCTCTTCTCCTGCCTCATTTTAGGGCTTTTTATAGGACATGAGGAAGAAAGCTTGGATTTTTTTTTTTTTCCACATAGAAGCCACTGTGATGGTTTTGTAAAGATGACACTGAAGTATTACTGAATATTATGTCAGTGGGAAGGTTTTCATCCTTCTAGCAAACACCTGCTCTAGTGGAAGGTGTTCCTGCCCATGACAGGGGCTTGGAACTAAATAATCTTTAAGGTCCCTTCCAACCCAAACCAGCCTGGGGATTCTGTGATCTCAAACCTACCTAACAATAGCATCCTTTCAGCCACTTTGCAAAACTTGTTACAGCATCTTTTAGTGAAGGCTTTCAAAATGTTTTTTGCCTAGCATCAACCATGATGGTAACAGGTTTATTTCATAGACTAGAAGGAGAATAAAGACAGGTAGAAGCTTGTGGCAGGGTCAGAGTTGGGTTCATTATTCAACCCTGAACTTAGAGCATTTCCTTCCTCATATTTCCACTCAGACTGCCAACACAGGGAATCTTCACCTGAAAAATGAATCAAAGTCTCATTATTTAATAATTTAGGGGAGAGGAAGGTGTTGACATGGTAAGTTTTCAGCATACACATGAGCTATTTCAAATCTTGGTCTCCTGTTCTCAAACCAGCTCATGGCACGATGGAAGGAAGCCACACTTCCCAGCTTTTTAAACAAAAGATCTTGGAAAATGCAGTGGGAAATAAAAGGCTCAGGTGCAAAAGGAAGACTCTGACCCTCAAATGATGTGTGCATGCACAGAAGCCACCTTACCTTGTAGAGAGCCACTAAGAGAGGGTACCGTGGAGGGCCCCTTTGGGGTTCGTTCCGCTCCAAGAGCTGCTTGATGAACTTCTCGATGGCTTTTTCTGACATGCCACACTGGTGGCCCGTCTGCCTGACCAGGTCAATCGTCTCTGAGAGCTTGTCATAGATGCTGAGCTCGTTGGCCGAGAGCTCCATGGCCTCTGATGAGAAATCCCTGCGGAGAGATTCGGTGCGTTAGCAGAAACCCCCCAGCTCAAGCCCAGCGTGTGCACAGGGATCCCAGCAACATGGCAGTGCCCAGGAAAGCTTCCCCTGGAGCAAACCTGCTCCCAGCCAACAGCACAACGTTCAGCTGCAGCCCTAACAGCCTCTGCTGGTTCAGTATCTCCCGCCCGACTCAAAGGAGCCGTGAAATTCCCTGACAAGAGCAGAACCGGCTGAGATTCGCGGCTTATGTAAATGAACAAAGCCTCCCAGAAATCAATGAAAACTCCAGTTATTCATCTGCTCCAAATGAATCCGTCCCATAAAGCGATTGCTCACCCACTACAAAAGCCAACAATACAAAGCTGATCATCACACGCAGCAGCCCCGTTAAGCTCTCCTGCGCCGTGATTTCAGTCGCTTATTTTAACCTGGATTTGTTTCCCTGAAATTCCCCTGTCAGCAACAGGAACAGGACAGAGAAACAAGCAGGATGTGCGGGGCAAAGTTCAAGCAGTTTACAATTTGTTTAAATTTTCGCAACCTGATGTCCAGGCCAACTGATTATTGAGTAACAGCGACCGTGTGGTAGCGGCTGCTCTGCAGGCAGCAAAGCTCCCACCTTCCTTCTCCCAAATTTGCCTGCAGGTCGTCACAGGCAGAAATGCCACAGAACTAAATATCTCAGCAAGAACACAAGCTTGTGAGAACACATCTGTGAGCAAGAAGCACCGAATGGTGAAAAAAAAAAAGAAATATGTTCCTCTCCCACTCGCCCTCTGCCACAAAGGCCTCGCCTCACCAAGAGCAGCAGATGGGCTGAGGAAAAGATGGAAATAAACTGCTGGACAAGGTAAAAGCTGCCAGTGCAAGGATCCCATTGTTAAAGAGACATTTTGCCTTGGAAAAACACTGCTGGGGGAACGGCAGAACCTGACAGGTTTTGCTTTGCCTCTTGTTTCTGAGCCGGGTAACTCTAATCTGGTCTAAACTGGGACAACTGGGGAGAGAGAGTTTAGAAATGCTCTGCCCTGAAAGCACAGGCTGAGGACCAGCACAGTAAAATCACAAGAAGGACAATCAATACTCACAGCTGGAAATCAGGCCACTGCCCCCCTTTTTGCTCTAAAGACTACCTGACCTCAGGAACCAGCTCGTGCTGACAAGCCCGGTGTGAAGTGCCATCTCATCTCAGATTTGCTCGGCTGTAACTCGCTCTGGCTGCCCCCACAGCACACATCAGCCATACGTCTGTGTGTGGATATTCCAAAAAATAAGATGTTCTTGTTAGGCAGCCAAATTTGAACTCTGATTTGCCTTTATAGCACTGGCCAATAGCTCTCCCCCTAAACCACGTGCTCCTAAAAGTCAGAACTCGAGCAATGGCAATTTTCAAGTATTTTTTCCTGCAGTGCTAGGGCGTAATTTCAAAACCCCCACACTTTTCACAGGACTACCAGCTTCAGCCAGTGCTCCTCTCCTCCCAAGATCAGCTCCCTGTCCTGCTCTTGCACACTTGTTTATGTGGTCACATGGTGAATCAGATCAGGAAAATTATCTGGCTGGAAAATAACCCTGATTTGTTTGGTCAGCAGCTGCCTAAGCATCCAACTCCAGCAGTTCATGTCACATGTTCTGTTAACATTAGTGTCAAATTTCCAGCCACAGCCCTACAAACACCAAAAGGGTAAAACGCCAAATTAAAACCTAACCCCGAGTGCACAATGAGAACACACTGCACTACATTGCCAGGTTAATTAGCTCCTGGCCCTCTTCTACCGACATTCCTTGTGTTCCACGCAAATATTTGTCCCAGATCTTACCATCTGAGCAGCCCCATTGGCAAGCAAAGCTGCCCCAAAGCAGGCTGGATCAATAATATCTCGTTATAGATTAAGTTCTCCAAGGCAGGGACCTTTTCTTCTCGCCTCTAAAGCACCTGCCACGCACATGATGATAAAAACAAGTAATTGCTTTACTTTCATTCATGCAATACCCTGATTCATGGAACAAGCAAGAGCCAGCACATCTGCAGGATATTAAATGCCCTTTTTCCCTGATTACTCCAGTTGTCTTGACATAGTAACTGCTGTGCTAAATGGTCTGAAAGGTTATCTGGTGTCCTCTGGCTCCCCAGTGCCAAACCTCTCATGTGTGAAGCTGTCCCGTGCCGAATTCCAGCAGATTCATCGAGCTTCCCCTGCCTGCAGGATCTGCCTGGAAGCACTTACAGCAATTAGCCCCACAGAAATGCTGTCAAACACGGTGGTTTCCCCCTTTCCAAACAGCACGAGAATCCTACTGTGATACAACACCGAGATACATCCCAGTTCCCACCCCTCTACATTTACATCCCACACCTTCGTAGACAAGCCACTAAAAACCCAACAAAGCTCCTTGACAGAGCAAAGAGTAACTCAACCCTCAGCTAGGAAATAAGGCATTATGCTCCCACACTGCTGGGAGAACAGATGAGGCCTTAAAAATCAAATAACAACCCATTATTTCCCTTCCTATCCCCACAATAAACCAGACAAAACCAGTAACAACAGGCTACTGTACCATCACACACACTGAGCTGGGCTTATCCCTTGCAAACCCCTCAGAGAAAGGGCCTTTAAACGATGAACCCATATGTTATTCTGTTTTTTTATGAACTCCACCACCCTGGGAGGAATAAGCAGCCTCTCTCCACAAACAGAAACAGCGATGGCCCTTGGCTTGAAGGGTTTGCACCCAAGAGCCCAGTTCTGCAGTGGGTGTTTAGTCCAAGGCTTTAGAAGGTAAATATTTCGACAGAAACGCTGCTGGAGGAGTCTTTCCCTTTTAAAGGGAATGCTTGCATGCCTTGCTGGTGAGCCTACAACAAAAAATATATCTATATATACACACACAGAAACACATATCTATATTTATACACACGTATAGAAATATGTATCTATGTTTATAAACACATACACAGAAATGTGTACCTATGTTTATAAACACGCATGTAGAAATATGTATTTATATATATACATAGAAATATAGATACAAATATAGAATAAATATATGTATATACATAGAAATAGAATATATGTATGCAAATATATATAGATAATAAAGATATATATAAAAATACATTCCCATCTTAACACCCTTGCTGCCGCCCCAGGGTCAGGTCCCAG